GCAGAGAAACTAAAGACCAAGAACAACGTCAACAAACCTTTAACGAAATGAAAAAAAGAAAATCAGATGAAAGAACGAAATCATTAAAAAAAAGAAGGAAGAAATTGTAAAGGTTTGTTTATCATTTCACACATATACTAGAGATTGACACATGACGGGTTCCTTATCATCATATATTTTCTAAAGTTATAAGACATTGATAAATTTGGCAGTACAACTTAGCAGTAATAGTAAACTTAATATTATTTTGGTAGATAGCATTTGGTTTAGCATTTATACAGTTGTCATATCAGTTTACATGATGCAATCTATGATTATTATGAAATTGTAATTATATAGATAAATAGTGGGTTGGTAGAATGTGGAGTAGCAAGGCAGCTAAAAGTCAAAAAAGGTTCTCTTCTACCTCTCGATTTTAAAAAAAGAAAATGATTCCAGTTGTAAAGTGAAGAGTTTAGGGATGGACAAGCAGTTGGCTCATAATAAACACCTGAGGGATTCTGGTGACTTTGATTGTGTTCTGATGTACCCAGACTTTGGTCTGGTAACACTATTCCAGGAACTTCACAGCCATTTACAGTTGAGAGATATAAGGAAGCAATTGGAAGGCCTTATAATCGAGTCAACTTGTACTTGTGCAAGGTCTCTGACTTAATTTTGAAAGTAAGGATTATTTACCTATAACAAACTGATTTGCATGTAATTAAAGCATATACAGTACAGTTCTCCAATCATGTATGTTAACATCAGTTTTTAATTTTTTCAACTTTTAATTCTTGTCACCCTCAATTATGATCTTTTATGACAAAATCCATACAGAAATGATGAAATCAGGTCAAGTTATATTTTTGGCCCTGAAAATCAGTCCCATGTTGTTGGATATAAAAAGTACCCCAAAAACCAGGACTTCATGATGTTGTGTGACATAGGACTTAGGATGGCCCCACACTACAATGCTATAGGGCCTATAGAAACCCTAATGACAATAATGACATAAATGTTGCTATAATGCTATATTTATATGTTTGTAGTTGCCAATGATATTGAGAATACTGAAGATGAATCTCTGGGTAATTATGAATTTAGTGTGGTAAAAACAGTACTGTTATCAACTGACAACCAATAAAATAGAACCAACTGATTAAAAATTTTCATTTCAAATTTCTTACTCCTGTATATTTAGGACCACACAGCTCCCCAACAATTAACTCTCAGGACTGGAATAGCAACCAAACTATGTTAACTCCTAACAAGCAGGCAATTTTTTGCTATGATTACCAAACAAGTACCTCTGAAACCCAAGCGAGTATCTCCGCCACCAAAGCAAGTATCTCTGATGCCCAAGAAAGTACCTCTGGTAACCAAGCAACTACCTCTATCAACCAGGCAACTGAAACAAATATCACTGAAAATTTTTTATTTCTAGAAGATATATTTGAAGGTTGGAAATATCATGCATGGAAGGCCCTCTAATTCCTATCGAGTATTGTATTGCATATCACATATAGAATAGTCATTTTTAATTTTTCTGGATATATTAGTTGAAACGGAAAACGTCAACAACACTAATGAGGTCATATCCCTGACATCGTTGGAAGAAATGGAAAATGAGGTCTTGGTTATCCATAGAACTCAAGTAAAGAATGATTTCCTTTACTATTTTGCTAATAGTAACATTTTAAACAAGTTCATAAGTGTACAAATAATCGATCCCAGAGGTATTGTAGAGAAAGGTGTAGGTAGCGGGGCTGTACGAGATGCGATTTCCATATTTTGGAAAGATATCTGCAATAGCTATATGCTCGGTGAAGCTGAAAGGGTACCAATAATTCGTCATGATGTGTCTAAGTGCATGTGGCAGGCTCTCGCCAGAGTCCTACTCAAAGGTTATGTGCAAGAACACTATTTGCCTATTCAAATATCCCAGTCTTTTTAAGCTGCTGTCTTTTCGGGAAGGAATCTGTCACTTCTGAGATGTACTTTAACTCTTTTATGAAGTATATCTCTAGAACCAAAGCCATCTTAGTAGAAAAAGTTCTTTCTCCTCTGTAAGTGTTGATACTGAAGAGGTTTCAGATCTTTTAACGGCTTTTAAGTGCAAGAAGATTGCTACGCCTGAAAACTTTAAGGATCTGATTATTGAAATAGCACATAAAGAATTGGTGCAGAAACCAAGATATGCATGTGACTGTTGGTCAGAAATCTTAGTACCTTTGAAATCTTTTATCACTTCTAACGACGCCTTGTTTCAGATATACACCTCTTTTTTCCTACTGCGAGCAGAGTATGTAAGCTCATTAAAGCTGAACCAAAATCCCCTGCTGAGAATGAATCATTAAATCATTTAAAGCGTTGGATCAAAGGTCTTAATACGAATTATCTTAAACACTTCTTGAGAATATCCACCGGATCCGATATTATTTTAGTTGAGGAGATTTCTATCGCATTTACCTCTTTGGTTGGTTAAAGTCGTTCGCCAGTGTTTCATACTTGTGGAGCAGTGATAGAGCTCCCATCAACTTACAACGATTTTGGCGATTTTAGAGAGGAATGGTGCAGTCTTATGTCTCACTCAGACATTGATATGGCATTAGTCTAAGGCCTGTGTTAGACGTCGCATTTTAGTCGCGCGAATCGCAATCCAATTCAAACAATAGATAATAAGATGATAAAACTCATTAAACTTCATTATCATCTCATTATCTATTGTTTGAATTGCATTCGACGCGACTAAAATGCGACTTCTAACACAGGCCTAACTGACGTGAATGGGTGATTAAGATGTTTGTTATCCCACGTTTTGTATAAGGCAGAAGTTGTTTAATATTACATGTTTCTTTATGTTTTTGAAGTAATTACTTGAGTTTCTGTATCTTTAGAAGTCTCATAAGAATTATTTGTTCATATTGCTTATAACATGCATATTAGTTACTAAAACTTTTAGTACACACTATATATGTAAAGTTTATATATACTGTTGTAAAGTTCATATTATCAGTTTTAACAAAGAACACTTAAATAGGTGGCAATTGAAGCAATTAACGTTAAATTTAATTTGAAACCTCGTAAACTTTTAGCGGTGAAATTCGTGGCTTCTATACATTCGGCTGATAAATTTTTGCTTATGACATGGAATTGCAAGCAATTTCCTCCATTTGTAAAAAGGTGTTTCCTATATAATTCTATGGCTTATATTAGGCAACTTAAGCAACGATAACGTTGACGTCCTGGACGTTAACTGTACTTTCGTACTCCCATTTACCAGTAAGGATAAAGGTCAGCTTAAGAGCTGCTTTCCAGTTACGCGTTTTTATATGTCTATGTTTTATATGCCTAAGTTTTGAAGTGGTTTTCTTTCGTGTTCTCGTTGCTTAAGGTCCTACTTGTTTTATACTACGTTGGAATATGAATTCACTTAGTTTGTTAGATTTTTTCGTTGTTTTTTCTTGGTTCACACTTGGGCTGATAATCATTGAGAGAATCGTTCCATGTTGTTGGCTCCTGCAGTTGTAATATTGAAAAATTAAATAAAAATTACTTTGTGTATTTCGTCATCTTCAACGGCAACGTTGCCTTCGATCGCTTGGATATCATGTTGCAGGCACTCCACCTTATGATCAACCGCGTCAACTGACTCGGGCAAGAAAAAAAGTTGATCAGAAATGCCATGAGTAGTGTGGTATCTGGATTTTTCTAACATAATAGGCATTCCCTTTTTAGCCTTTAGGGAATCCCCATCACTTTAATGAAACAAAACCAAAGACATTCCAGCTATAGTCAACAATACCTCTGTCTACCAAATCTTTAAAAAAATTAATCCACCACGATGCCCACGACCGACGTAGCATGGCCCACCACGCCTCTATACGCTGATTGCTGTGTGACGATCCATAGCGATGTGCTTTTATCCCATTATAGTGATCTCTGTGGTTTCGACGTAAGTGCACTGAGCAGTGCCCATTATAATTTCAGTCCCTTTGTCCGTTCGTAGAATTGTTGGGCAACCGTTTTGGGATTTAAACACAATCAAGAAATAATCCCCAATGACCCGAGGGTTGTATTTGTTCGAACGATCTCTAACCACATAATTCGTTTGCTAAACCCATCAATGCAGCCGTGAATGGGAAACCCAAACTGTTTGAGTTTATCGTACCCATCGGCATGCCAGGTAAAGTTTGGACCAGGATTTAAAATACTCCCCCCGCTGCAGCTTATGACTTTTCTTACTGCACAACCTTCAGGATTAAGCACCTTTAAGATACTTTGAGCTGTTGAACGGCGCACACGCATGCCATATTTTGATTGCAGTTTCCTCCACATTGATCTGTATCCTAAGATTGCCATTTTCATGTAGTTCTCTTGAACGCATTCTCTAACTTGTTCTTCATTCGCGTTGTAATCTTCTTCTTCCCAAAACCATACTCCGTAATCTGGTGATGAGCGCTCTTTTACATATTTTGATATCATGATATTTTCTAAACAGTATCGTTTTGTACTTAAAATTTCTTCCGTAGTAAAAACGGATCGCTTTCTCCATATCAATAATTTATATTTACTAGGCCAAAAGACAAAAATGCATTTATAAATGTATTATACTTTGCAACAATAATTAATAATATTAATAGACTTATCCTTGTTGACTTTAAATTTGTGGTGCGCTAGGTCGTTTTGGATTTAGATAAATAATTAAATATTTGCGTTTGTGTTTTGAATTTGCGTTTGTGTTTTGAATTTGCGTTTGTGTTTTGAATTTGCGTTTGTGTTTTGAATTTGTGTTCGTGTTTTGAATTTGCGTTCGTGTTTTGAATTTGCGTTTCTGTTTTGAATTTGCGTTCGTGCTTTCATGATTTGCGTTTATGTTTTTGAATTTGCGTTTATGTTTTTGAATTTGCGTTGTGTTTTTGAATTTGCGTTTGTTTGAATTTGCGTTTTTTTGCACCTCTGGGCCACCGTACATCGATATTCTTTTCTAGTTTGTAACTCCTTGTTTTTACAGGGAGAAATACTTGAGAATTCAGTGTTGCCACATTTAGACCACATTGCGAAAGATCGGGATATTTTTGTGCAGATCCGAGGTGTCCAGCTTCTGGTCGATGTTATTGCATCCTCTGATTCACCGAAAGTTTGCGATGTTTTGCATACAATCGAGAAGGTACTGATACAATCCTTTCAGACGGTTTCATTTCTCCACTCCAATTGCCTCTTCATTCGTGATGAGCTGATACTGTACTTCAATAGAAAAACTCTCTCTTATCAGTGAAAGCTTCCTAACCTGAACCCAACTATATATCCGCAAATTGGATCGTTTTACACGGGAGTCGTGAATGCAAACGCGTCAGTGAATAAAAGGATATATTTTCATTTATCAATTCCAGATTGCCACTGTCCAGTAGACCTCTCAAGCGATACGTCAAGCCGTCGTGTAAAGAACATGTAAGGTAATTAAGAGACTGCAAGGTATTTGTAGGAACATCTAGAGACATATAATTACATCTAATCACTGTAAATTGTTTTGTCTGCAGCCTCAGGATGAAACAGCGTAGAAAGACATCAAAGAGGCTGCATTAGGATTAGTACGGGGAACTTTGGCTTCAAGCTAAATATGGATTTTTTTCAGGACTTATCGTTCCAGTTGTATAAAATGAAACTATTCACAATGAATTCCAAATCGTAATTCATCATGGTATCAATGCCCCCCCTCTCTCTTTCAAAAATTAGACCCATATTCCATTTCTAATTTAATAAGTGGGTTCTTTAATAAGTGATAAGCTAGCTAAAGCTAATGTTTCCAAACTATTTCCACATCAACATATGCCATATTTTTGTGCAGAAGATTAGTGGTTATAAATTACATTGGAGTGAACGAAAGGTTCCAGTGACGTTAGAGGTACTATTATTGTTTTCAAGTTTCTTGATAACTTACCTGTGTCTTCATATATATATATATATACTTGATATTGCCAGACATTTGAATATTTGTGATTGGAATAATTCAACTCAGGCTTTCATTCCATTTCTATACTTAGATCTCAGATTATCCTAAAGGATTTGTTGTTGTCTGTGGTGGTTTTAGCACAATGGTATGTACCAGATGTTGCTAGTACCAGCCATAATATAACAAAAAGATAAGATACCAGTTATTTCTGTAAATGGAAGTTTTACATTTTGTGCACAATTTTGCTTTTGTTTTCCAGCATCTTTTCACATCAGAGAGGAATTGCTGAAAAAGATGATGGAATCTTCTTTCAATAATGTTGGTGTTACGATAAAGTATGTGAACATTTTAAGTAAACAAATTTTAAGTAAATGACAAAATGACTTATATTCAGGTTACTTTATTTGTTTACGTTTTAACCGTTTTTGACAAAATTTTTTCCAGGTCTGTAATTTACTTTGAGCTGTATTTGTTATTTCTTTTGCCTCGGTTTTAGGCAGAAGAAAAGTTCCATGAAAGTGGAGTCGTTTTTTAAAACAAATTTGGAAAATACAGTTGAATGATATATTATTAAGACAGTATTTCGTTTGTCCTGTGTAAAGAATGTGGGATATGACAGTAAATGACAATTTTTTTGTTTCAGTGATGACGAACATATCACATCAATGTCAGAATTCAGCGTCTATAAAGAAACTCCTCGGAGTAAAGTGAGTTATGTTGTTAATAAAATTCTTCTAAGAGTCTATCCTTTTTTTCATTTTAAAATCGTTTTGACACTCTCAAATTTAGGATCCTGTTGAAGAACGCTGTGTTTCTTTAGAAACGTACAATA